AACAAAAAAGAAGACAAAAAAAAATCCAACAAAACCTCGAAGAGTCGTGTTTTCATTTCATTTTTGTTTGTTTGGTTCCCTCCGCTGTTCGTGATGTTAAGATAGTTTTAACAGCAGCAACATTGGCATCGGCATCGGCAACGGCACCGGCATCAGCATCGACAGCGGCAACAACAATGTGATAATATAATGATGAGGGCATACTGCACGAAATTCGTATACGTATTTACTTTTGTTATTTTTGTTGCTATTATTCACATATGAATGTTTGAGTTTGCGTGTTGATTTTGTTTTATATGTATTTCTTGCTCGTTTTTATATTTTTTGCGTTATTTGCTTTCCTCTTTTATTGCATAAATAAAAATGTTTGCGATGTAATTTTTTAGTTTCATATGCACACATGCATATGGTTGGTATATGTTGGGTATATTGGGTGTATATGTGCTATGAAAGGTGATAATCGTGGTGATGACGACGACGTTGATGCTAATGATGATGATAATGATGATGATAATGATGATGATGATGATGATGATGATTATGATGTGATTGCAGTCATAGAAAAATCTGTGCATTTGTGTCTACTTGTATCCTCATAGCACTATCCATCAGTTGTAATTATACGTTTTTACTGCTCATCTGCATATGCATGAGTTGAATGGGTTTTTGTTGTAAGGTAACATTTTATTTATTTTTTTTTCTTTCTTTTTTTTTGATAATGTTAACTGAAATCACTGAACTAGAGAGAGCGTAAACTAAAAACGAAAAATAAAAAAAAAAAAACATTCTAATGAAAGTTGCAGAAAGTTCAAAAACCTTTTTCTTAATTATCTCTGCAAGCATTGATATGTTGCTGCCACATGCGATAAGTTAAGTCGGCCTCTCTAGTTAAAATAAAAATTTAAAATTCATTACTTTCCTGGAATTTGTTCACAGCAATTGAGACAAAACTACTATCATTATTATTGTGAAGGAACTACTAGTGGCGGGATTTCTGTGCATTTCTCTTCTGGCGACGTAATATAAACTCTATTACTACTAAATTAGCACACACACACGCGCATACATATTGTTCTCTGGCCTTGGACATCCTTTCTCAAATGATGTTATGGATTTTGTAAGTTCGTGCGAAATATGAAGACAAATTTTCGCACTTTTTTTCCAAAACACTTTTTCTTCTAAACTCTTTTGCGCAGCAGTCTTGAATTGTGTACATAAAAATATATTTTACATTTGTTTTTTGTTTTCATTATCGTGAAATAAGTGGCATTTGGTTAAGTAGTAATTTTTGAATGTGTTCTTCTTCACGTTAATGTTAGTGTAAATACGAAACTTTGTTGCACAGAAGGGGCTACCGTTTCGCACAACAAGGTCTTCTAAAACTATCAATTAAAAATTGCCCTTTTTTCTTTGAACAAGGGAGAGAGAGAGAGAGAGAGAGAGAGAGAGGAGAGCCCAAAAAAACTAGACTGGGTGTGAAGAGAGAATGCATGTATTTTCATAATTTTGTTAATTAATTGCATAAAAATTTTATCGGAATGCTTGGCTCGCTCTTTTGAAGATTACTTTAGTGGGCGTGGGTCGCCTGTGGACGACTCAAACGCATTCGCAAATATGTCCAGAATATACCAGCATTCTATTTCAATTGCACCTACTTTGAAGCGAAAAACGAATCATTGGACAGAAGGACCGACATTCTCAAAGTCACGACGATCAAGGATTTATGGAATCTTTCTTTAAAGTTTTCCAAAGTGTCGATGTGCTAAAGCATATATATATTTTTTCTATTATCAACAATCACTCACGCGATGTTCGTGTAATAGGGTACAAGTGAGAAAGCCGTGAGAAAAGAGAAAGAGATAGGGAGGTTGTCGCCGTAGTCTATTAGATGTGCTTTTAATGTTCAAACAATACATCTTTCAACAATATTTACAAGTTAACCATTCTTCATAAATATACCTGCTGGGTTATAGTAACATTCAGCAATTAATTGTCATAAGGACTTCCTTGCACGCACTCTGCGGGAACTCGAGTTGTCTCATATAGTTTAAAATACTGTCAAGCCATGGAAATGCAAAGAGAGCGTAAAGTGTTTATTATGTGCCTTCCTGATCATCATGAGTACTACCGCGTTTTTTTAATGGTCTCAACAAGTAATCGCGAATTGTATCTAGGTCCCACGAAAATCTTCGTGCTTTTTATGATCTTTGAAGAATGTTGTAAAGCATAAGACCTCAAACTCTGATAATGAATTCAAAATTATCAAGAGAAATAAAGCTTTATGCAAATGTGCTTTGTTAAAAAGAAAACTGGTTCACAAAGGTATGAAATCATGTTGAGTTTTTTTTTTAAGGGCTTACAACGTTCACATTTGTTATCCGTCATATTAACATGAACGTTTTTTATACCCCATCACTAGCTACCATATAGTAAATGCTTAAAAGAGACAACGGAAATCTATTCAAACGATATATTGATTGTACGTCGCATGCTATATATAATTTGAAGACCATTATATTTGATCTTAGCTACGTAGCTCTGTTCAAATCCGTCATTTTTGAGCTTACAGCTTTGTACTGGGAACTTTTTAATATGACATAGTTTAGGAAAATCGACAAAATGTCGGCTTTTGAACAATGTTGGGCAAGTGCAATAAATCGAATGTTGTTCAGAACTGATATGTTTTGTGTGTTTTGCTGTTTTAAATAAAATTCTAAGATCTTAATTGTGATTTCCACAGAAGGACAAACAACGAAGATACAGAGAGAAAGATCGATCGACGGATTCACCCAAGCTAATGTTGACGACAAATGAGAACATCAAGTCAAGTTTACACATCTAATCGTAATCAACATGGCAGACGGACAGGCAGCCATAGACAAGGACACTTCTACATTGATTCCGATATTTACTTCAGCCTGACGCAAACAGATTGAAGGACAAGTGCGTACGCGGTTTCACTTTTCCACAGAGAGATGATCAACGAAGATGCAAGCAGAAGGATTGATAGTGGGATTTACCTAAACTAAGATTGGCGACAGATATGGATTTTAAATCCATATTTATTTTCCTAGAAGAAGTTCTTAAGTCGCAATGAGGAGAATATATACGTACAGCCGTACAGCGATCAGTTAGGCATACAGAAAGATACGTCTAAATTGATTACGATATTCACCTTAAGCAGGTGAAAGGAGATTAAACGACACATGCGTATGCAGATATTAAACGGTTTAATTTTCTTAATTTTATTCACATAAAAATTAATAATAGGTTGGTCTCTTGCTCAAAGACGCGATTACCGCCTCTTTAATATATCGCTCTGCACCATTCCATCTTCTTTCCAGAACACATAAGCCACACTATTTTGAATGTCGAATTGCGAGTCTTGTAGTGGTTCGTAGTAGATGCAAGTCTCATAGATCATTAGCAGAGTACCGAATAAGTCATGTCATTCGGCGCCATAAAATTGATTGCGTATGATCGATCCCTTTTTCTTTCGCCCATCGGACATGTGCTAGGCCACCGCTTTGCCCCCTTTGTCCGTTTAGTATAATACTTCACTTGTTGGTTGCTATGCAAAGATGCCGTGCGGTAGAATCCTTGATTAAATCGGATTGGTTTCGCAAGAAGGGCTGCAAAGGCGCTGTATAGAATTTATGCACCCTTCAAGGTATATTTGTAAATATTGTGTGTCCGCGGCAAAAAAACCGCGATCTGAACTATATATGTACCTTAAAAGCCACCTATAGCATATAGTCTGCGCTTTATGTGGTGGTGAGTATAAGAGTCAAGGTGAAATAATATCTAAGATGTGCTTAGTCATTGTTTTAATTTTCGATAATAATGCTTGAAAAATTGCTGGAATGTTATCGATTCGCAATCGTCAATTTCTAGAAGATGTCAACACTGAATGCAGTTAATTTAGTTGCATTAATAACGCTAACTATCGGTTAATATATGCTCGTTTCTGTTCCAAATATAGTTTTTTTTTTTATGAGTTTATTTTATTAGTCACGTTAAGTAAGTACGGAACACATTGCATTAATTTCTGAAATTATCGCTGCCTACAAAATTTAACTTTTAAGTGGTTTTAGTTATTAGATAAAAAAATGAAAATAAAAAATTTTTCTTGTTTTCGAGAGTCATGCTTTTTCATTTAAATACTTAACTGTATGCAGCTGAATTACTTTCTATTTTATTAGAATTTATATAAAGCTCGACAGACAAGTTTAGCTAAAACAACAGAAAAACCAGTAGCTCAGCCGTGATCTAATTTTTCTTTTCAATATTCTATCTAACTAAGAACCGCAAAAACCTTGATATCAAAAAATCATAAGAATCAAGTTAAACAAACAAAAAAAAAAAAACAAAAAAGAACTATGCTAGATATATATGTATATAGAAGCATAAAGGAATCTGAATAAAACTGAGAGTATATGTATACAACATGGCATGCGCATTAAAGCTAAACTAGAAGCAAAGCCAAACAACCGAACTGAAGATAACGCAAAGAATAGAAAGAAAAAGCGTTTAATTCAATTTTGAAAGGAAACGGGTTAATATAAATTCAAAAAAAGAAGAAGAGAAAAAAGCCTACAAGTGTGTAGAGAGAATAAATGAAGGTAAAAGAAGAAGATGCGATAATAAAATGGTTAGACCTGCGCAATGAGAAATTTCAATAAAACAACACAAACAAAAAGAATGAGAGAAATAATAAAATTGATACTTGAGGCACTGACACAAAACGCGATGATATTTACTGAGTGTACAGATTAGCAGAGAAAAAATGCCGTTTAAAAAGTGCAGGTAAAACGAAAACAGGTTTTAATAAGAAAAGCAAAAACATAGAATTAATATTAATATTAATAATTAAAAGTAGTTGTACAAAGAAATTTTAATAATGAAATATATAGAGTGAGAGAGGGAGAGGGTGAGAGAGAGAGAGAGAGAGAGAGGAGAGCTAGGGACGTAAAAAAAAAAGAAGAAAAAAAATGACTCACCTGTTATAATGACAATGAAAAGCAACAAAGCACTGAGCTTAGTCTGCAAGAGATCCAGATGTTTTCTTATTATTCCGCCTTGCATTTTGTAGCTGTTTTCCGTAACTTTTCTCTAATTAAGTGTAAATTTTTATTTGTAATTTATGCTTGTTGCAATAATTGGCACAATTGACTGTTGATAATTTTTAAATTTAAGCAAAACGCGAACACTCGCTGATAAACATTTTTTTTTTTCTTTTCTTTTCTTTTTTTTTTTTTGTTTCGTAGCTTAGGATAAAAACAGTTCAGAAGTGACTTTAGTTGCAAGAAATTTTTATCGAAAAATTTATATTTTTATTCGCCTATACGTATATGTATATATATACCCGTTAAAATCTTCAAGGATACTTTTAATCGGCCCTTAAGTGATTTTTGGCGCGCACTTCACTTTTAAAACGTGATCTGCGTTGTGAAAGATTCTTTCACTTTAAACGATAAACACTCGTGACAGGCTTTTTAACGTAAACGTAAAAAACTTTTAAAACGGCGGCTTAACAGATCCTTTTAGGAATTTCTTTTCTTTTTTTTTTCTTTTTTTTTTTTTCCTTTCTTTTTTTTATTTTAAAACGAGTTATCGGAGATTTTTGGGCTTTCTAGCAACATCTAGCTTGCAAATATGTGGAAGCGCGGCGCTGGCTACTATTTAATAAAAGATGTAAATTGGTGAACGTGTGTATTGCAATTGTATATAATACACAAATGTATACGGCACAAACGAATACGGATATGCACAGAGACGCTTACGAATAGAAATTTTTACAAAAACCAACACAATGTACACAACGTTCACGATGCAACAGTTTCAAACGAACTGAGACAATGTGTGTTTATAAAGTTGCCAAACAGCTCATAGATACTGGGTTTTGGTGTTATGTGTGCGTGTGTGTGTATGTGTGTGCGTGTTGTTGTTGTTGTTGCTGTTGGTATGGTATGGTTTTTAGCTTGGCACACAGCACACCACCAAACAATCATAGTCATCATCTCTTTCGTCGTACTTCTGTTGTTGTCGTTGATTGTCAGTATATACATGAATATAAATAAACATGTTTACAAACACACATGCACGTTTCTAGACTCTCACTAACATTTATTTTTATACAACAGTCAAGTCAAGCCAAGTAAATATGCTTTTGCTGCTCCTCTCAAGTTAGTTAGTATTTTTACTAAAAACAAGAAACGTCATATATATATATAGTAGTATCTGTGTATATATGAAAAAAACCTAAGCACTTATATTACCTTACAAGTCTCTCGGTCACGTACATACATTGCTGTACTAAAGAATAACTATACTTCTCACTCACTTAATATTAAGTAAGCCAGTCGTAGTCGGTGTATAGCAGTTCAGCGTAGTTACAGCTAATGATTAGTAGGAGTAATAATAAACGAATATTTTTATATCTGTATTTTTTTGTGTTTTTTCTTTTTTACATTTTAAAAAAACATTCAGTTTTATTTATAACTAATAAAGCATTTTATTTTTTTTATTAATTTAATTAAAGTCTATGAGCGTAATTTTTGAAAGAAATTTGAGTGAAATTGAAATGAAATTGTTTGCTGGGTTCTCTTTGCTTGCTGCAAGCAGTAGAAGCAGTAGAAATTGGGTTTGCTTAGGTACATTTACTTTTTTAAGCAGTAAAAACGGTTAATAAAATGCTTATAAACATTATCACTTCTCATATTTTGTAAATGTTGATGAAACACTTGTTGAACTAACACTTGGGCGCTCCGAATATATATAGTATATGTAATTATACATAACGTTTTTCGGCGCTCTGAGCGCCTCGGCTGGCCAGCAACAAAGTTGACTTGTGAAAATCAACATTTGACGAAGTCGGTGCTGAGAGAAAAATGCATTCGAGTTTCGTTGCACCCCGTAATTTCTATAATATAAACTTCTATAGTAATTTGTTTGTTTTGTGTACTCTGCAATATTTTCTAACACACATACATGCCTATTTACTAAATATTTGTGTTCTTACAAATTTGTCTTCACGTATACACATATACTCACTTGTTAAGGCTCTCTTTGCTGTTTGTTGTCCTGTTATTTGGTTTTAACATAATTAAAATTTGTTACACACTTGGGAACTGATTTAGTTTTACTTTTTATTATAATACTTACATACACGCACATATATGTGCATATTAGGGATATAACATAGTTAGGCAAATTTATATAAATATATAATATATAGTATGTATGTATGTAGTTTTTTTTTTTTTTTTTAACTTTTAACTAACAACTAATTTATACTCATTTATATATAATTTACATACGAATGCTCTTACACCTAAACGTTTATATTTGTATTTATGCGTTTATATTATAGTACATGGATGTAAATAAAAGTTTTTTTTTTTTTTTTTTTTTTTTTAAACACATACACACTCGTGTAAGCAGTTCTTCAACTCTTTACTGGATGATATGTAATATGTAGTAAATAAATAACTCAAACTGTTTGGTTATAAACAACATAACGGTATGTTGAAGGACTTTTCTCAGGGAGTACACTAAAGTACAACTAAAGCACATCTAATGTTGTTTGGAATATTAAAAAGTGATCACATTGCACATGGCCAATGTAGGAAAGCCCAAGAGGTGACCTAAGACCATTTCATGTATGGATTAATTTCAAGCAACTCACACCTAAGCAAGCGTTCACTAATTCTAGGAAGGCACATAATGAGGTCTTCTTTGAAGCTACTCAACGAATGTTCCCTGCATCCTGCTTTCTGAGAGTAATATGGAAGACGATATACACGAAGCTTAAGCATCGTTATGTTACGAAAAGGTCAGTGAATGCATTAGACTTTTTAACATTCACAGATATAATCCAATGAAATATTTATGTGCATATGCCAAGATTCAAATTCTAATTATAATTTTGCTTTGTTTATTTATTTTTTGTACGTATTTCACAAACGATTGCAAACTTCATTAAAACTTTGGCAATTGATTTAAACAAAATATCACTGCACAGTGAGGCTAGATGTTGAAGGAAAATAAATACAGAGTTTCGTGAAGCATTATCGAAATTTCTACTTAACAATAAACAAAACAAGTACAAATACTATAAACAGCCAGAGCCCACCATAAAATACCCTACATCATCTTACAGTTGCTCATATAACGACATTTCAAAATAAGGAAGTGATCGAAGAAGTGGTCCTGTCCAAAATAGCGTTCGTCCTTGGGTTAAAACACCTCAGCATATCAGATGCGATCAAAATGTGTGAAAAACTATAGCTAATAAATTGAAACAAGACGGACAGATGGACGGATGAGCTAACATAGTCGCAGAAAGTAATTCTGAATTTATCGGCTTATCTCAAGTCCTCCTCCTGTGTGTCACATACATCCCCACAAATTTAGTATACCCTCGCACCATAAATGGTGTAGAGTACCTTAATATAAATACATTATTAGGGATGTTCGATTAATCATCTGTCTCAGTTAAAGCATGGGCTCATATATAGAAACAAAAAGATTTTGTTGTCATTAAACTTCAGGGATGGATTTATTACAAGAGTCTTTTCTTTCCTGTGTAGTGAAACTGCAGCGGGCATCTTTGCTCGTTGAGCTGAGGAACATAGAAGATGCCTCTGCTTGAGTTTTGAAAAATCTGTGATGAGAAAGAATCTAGTAGAGATATTTCGGGCCCTCGACCGTCAGGAGGTCTTCGATACGTTTACGTACCGCTTTCGCATTTGGGAGTAGAGTAGTTTCCAAAAATTCGAGGAAAGTGCGTTAAGTTTCAAAATATGGAGTTGCCCTAGACCATCGTTCTTGGTCCACACAAAGATTTTGAATATGCCTCACCGCGGCATATACATGTAGATCAATGGAGGGATGAGTAGTATAAAATTAAATTAAAACTCGAATAAACTTAACGCTGTACACTCCTATCTCGGTTTAATGTCGACCTTACACCAATTTCTTTGTCGATCTAGAATCAAGCTTATATGCAAAAAAAAAAAAATAAATAAAAATTAGGAACGCAAAGGATTAATAAGTGAAGCCTCTTATTCTTAGATGACAGCATTGTTGAGTACTCGTATACCCATACCCTTCTGGTTTTCTCGCTTTGGCCGCGCTCGCAAAGGTATTGCGCAAAAGATAACAAAATTCTATCGGATGGCAAAGCGCCAAACATTAAGTGCGCAGTGTGCCGCGCACATAGAAAACGATTGAATCTGGTGGAAGTACTTCACTGGGCTAGGAGAGACCTTACCTTCTGAAGGTGTCGGTCTTGTCCGTCAAGAACACAAATAACCACAAGCCACTTAAATAGATCTTATGCCGCAGTAGTTACTTGTCTTCTGAGCTATTCGAGGGGAAAGCATTTATTTCAATATCCGGTTAACGCGAAAAGATTCATATGAAGTTTATATGCAATGCCACAAGCAAACCATCGAGCAATTCAACAGTGCTGCATAATACTTGACATCAAAAGTGTCAATTCGTAGACCAGTGGCAGTGGAAGGACGGCAGGGCAATAATGCAATCATTTTCAATAAGTTTAAGGATCGAAACTTTCATTTATATTTATTCAATTGAAGCTTTGACATATCTATAAACCCAAAAGGTTGAAGGAAATTTTTGTTTGAGAACTTCTCAGTTGCACTTTAAATGTTTTATTGACATTAGTTGTGTGTGCGTGTGTGCGTGTTTGCGTGTGCATGTTAACGTTTCGTATAATATAAGTGGAGCTTGATTTAATGTTTATCCCTAGATATAGCTGCGTTGAGTGCTAAGAGATGGTGTTATGACGATAATGATGATGATGATGTTTTCAATTTCCTTTGAAGTTCTCTTTAATTTATTTATGAAGCAACAAACGATGAAATGATATGTTTGCCTATTTACTTAGTTTTTCTTTTTCTTCTTCTCTTCTTTTTTTGTCTTATTGTGATATTTGAAAAATATTTATTTTATATGAAGCGATATTTTAAATTATTTTCTTCTTTTTTTTTTATATCGGATGTATAAGAAGTAATGTCAAATATGTTCTCATCAAAAAAGTTGCATAAAAAAATAGGACGGAAATGAAAATTTCGAATCAAAAAGTAGCCAAGACGGCGAGGAATGGAAAGCGGGCAAGAATCGAAGGAAGCAAACATAAATGAACCTTCAGCGAGCGACGACCTAATGGGCGGACAGACTACTCAAGCTAACCGAGTGACTCAAGTTAACGTCTGCATAACAAAGCAAATGACTGAATGAATGAATGAATGAATGAATGAGCGCAAGAATGCAACGCATTTGCAAGTTTATGTTATATACGGAGCAGACGTTGCAGGCGGATGCGTTTTTCTTCTTCGTTTTTTGTTTTTTTTATTTTCTAGTTTTTTTGGTTAACAAAACTGGTCTGTAGGAGCGGGGGATCCAATGCAAGCTACAGAGAAAGAGTGAAACTGCCTCCTACATACACCAACATATACACAAATATACGCGCGCCAGCCTTATGAAACAGACAATGTTATGCGCTTAGATAACGACGATGATAATAATGATACAGATAATGAGCAGTAAAAAAGCTGGCTCGCAGCTGCCTGTGCCAACGACTCAATGGCTTGTTGGCTGTTAAAAAATCTTATGATGACGCTGGTTTGCCGCATATCTACACAAATACGATTTTAGTATTTGTGTGTGTGTGTGTGTGTGTAAGCGACATAGGTTTGTATCACTGTAGAGCATACATTAACATAAGTGGTCTAGAGATGCTCAAGATT